CAGTCCGCCAGTCCGGAGTTGGCTAAGGTGAAAACAGAAAATAGGCTTTAAGCAGGCTGGCCCACAATACTATACTACCCTACTAGGAAAGGATTGGGCTTGGCTTTTTTATTTTTTTGGATTATTCATTTTTGTTTAAGCCCAAAATTGAACAACTGAGATGAGGCTCTTTTGGGTTGGGCTGTGCCTTCAGTCCAGAATCCAGTAAAGCAATAAAATAAAAGTATGCTGTTTTTCAATTCGAAAAAGAAAGATCCTTAGATGGGAGGATTTCTATATTAGGGGCCCTCCCCTTGTCAGTTACTCTCTCATTTAATAATTTATAATTTATAATAAATTTAAATTATAAATTTATTTTTTGATAAAATAAAAGTTTATTATTTTATAGACTATTTTAAATAATAAAACAAAAATTTTTTGATGGGAAGGGTCCAATAACAAATATCAAAGGCACATTCCTTATTTAAGTGTTAATATTTTATAATTTATAATAATCCAGAATGTAAAATAGTTTTTTCTATATTAAATTGTTTTCATTTAGAAAAGATCAGGGACTAAAATAGACTCTTAAAAACATTTGGGACAAAATTGACAGGAAATCAGAAGGTTAGACCGGCCAAAATTAATTTTATCCAACGGGGTTTTCATTTTGAGCACAACTACACTGAAGCAGCCTCCTAAAAGGCTAAAACCCTAAACCCCGCTGCTCCCTACCAACACAGCTCTGCTTCAATGGCGGCCTTCGAGCACTTCAAAGAACACTACAAAGACATGTATGATGTCAAATTGAAGCCTCGAATGCTGCGGACGCTCATCAGGAAACATCTGCCGGACGAGAAGCAGCCTCTTCACAGCTCCTTTGAGCTGGCCAAGGTTGTCTCCACCATCCAAACTCACAGTCTCCTGTCGGAGTCATTTGAAGAAGAATCCACGGATCAGAAGCTGATCCAGAGCTGGAATTCTGTCATCGATGACTGGGTTAATCGTGTTTTGCTACTGGCCTCGAGCAACATGGTACATTTCAAGTCTACGTTCCTGTTTCTTTTATGTTTTGTGGAACTGGAAGTTCATAATAGATTCTCGGAATTCGACGAAATTTAGGGGATAATGGAATTTGAGAGTCTTCGGATGTTAAATTTTCCCACTTCAACGCTAATTTTGTTTGATCGTGTGTCATTCTTGTCTAGTCAGATAAATGTTGGGCAGGAATCTGTCTTCTGGGTTTGACTTGTCAAGAATGCAGCTCTGCTCGATTTTTTTCATCCTACTCTGTTTGGTTTCAGAAGCTCCTATCTCATTTGCAGGTATGAGTATTAATTTTACATGCAGTAGGATGGTTGATTTTTGGCTACTTTTTTTTTTTTTTTTTTTTTTTTTTTTTTGCATGTTATTCCACATTGCTTGCAAGCTTCTTGTTGTTGATTCTGTCTGGTTACTTCTTAGTATTATCAACCGTCAAATGCCCAGGCTTAATTTCCCCTTTCCCTTCCCAAGATTGCTAATTATACTATCACGATGCTAATTATACTATCACGAGTCGAGAAAGTAGAAGTCTACAGGTTATACTCATTTTTGTTTTCTACTACGACTAAGGTGTTTCTGTGATTGGGTTGTTGTATCTTACATGTTGGAAGTTCTTGGAATTTATTCTTCATTAGTTGTTAGTGTTTTCTTATTCTGTGGAAATCAATGTTGATATATATATATATATATATATATATAAGCGTTGAAATTCATGAGTTGTCTTTAAAATCAATTTCAACGCCTATATATATATATATATATATATATATATATATATAGGCGTTGAAATTCATGAGTTGTCTTTAAAATCAATTTCAACTTTATCTCTTCATTCTAACATTGTCTGACATCTTGTTTGGAATAGCCTCCAGCAGATTCTCAATTTGTGAAGGTGGCCTCCTGTACCTCGTTATCAGATCTATTAACAAGGTTAGATACTTGGCAATAGCCTATTCATGCATATGCACTTGCATATATGTACTGGACTGTGCGTTGATATTTGCCGACATGCAAAAAAATGTAATGCTCAAACAGATGTATCATCATTTAGTTGTAAAACTACTCTCTTTCCTGAATTAGATTGGGAAGGTTTTCAAATCTAAAGAATGATGGGACCTCACATTCTGGGAAGCTCATTCAACCTATTTTGAAGCTCTTAAACGAGGATAGTTCAGAAGCTGTATGGGTAAGTAGCACATACATTCAAAATTTTGAATGTCCCTCCTTGACATATGTAAACACATGCATGCATTGACAGTCTGCCCAACTTGGTATGCTGGAACTGATGCTTGCATTTCAATCCTTTCTACTATCTGCTCTTCTTTTTAGTTCCCAGGTAGGTATCATTTATGCCCCTTTTCTCTGATATGCAGGATGGAGCAGTTAGTCTCTTACATACCATCATAACTTTCTTTCCAGCTTCCATTCATCATCATTATGACAAGGTCAGCTTCTATTTTTTGTGAGAATTCCCACAGTAAACAGTGTATAATACCATGAATGATGTGGAGCATACAATTCTGACCAAAACAAAGATATGGTATGCATGATTGCAGAAAGCACTAGGCAGTGGTGGGTTCCCATTCCCCACCGCCTAGTGCCTAGGCCGTCTCAGGCTTGCCTGGTCATTTCCACAATTTTTGCAACACTGATGGTATGCATGATTTATTTGACTCACACTAGTATACAGTTCCACCTAGCTGTTGGGTGAAAATATTTACAATCTTGTTACACTTGAGTTTAAAATAGGAGCCATAACTACATAATCACATGAGACCTTTATTATCAGTTAAGGGAAATTTCTTCATTTATGTAACGTTTAGATCTTTATGACTTCTGCAGGCGGAAGCTGCTGTTTCTTCAAAAATTTTGTCAGGGAAATGCGGCCCTAAAATGTTGAAGGTAACATGGTTTATTGAACCCAGTTTAGCTGCCTCTACATAATGATGTTGACATCTTTTGTCCTGAAGTAAATTCTTTTTTTTTTTTTTCCCTTTTTGGTGTTTATGTTTTCAGAAACTTGGCCATTGCCTTGCATTACTCCCGAAATCAAAAGGAGATGAGGGTAGCTGGTCTTTAATGATGCAGAAGATTCTGGTTTTGATAAATGACCATCTGAATGATGTCTTCCAAGGCATGGAAGAAGGTATATCCTGAGACCATTGTGGATGCACTGTTGTCTGTCTTAAAAAAATACATAATAAATTTGTTTACATGCCTTGCAGAAGCTAAATCTGCTAAGGTTAGAAGATTATTGGTTCCACCTGGAAAAGATCCCCCACCTCCGTTGGGAGGTCATACATCGTTAATAGGAGCCATAGAAAAGACGATAAAGAGGTCTGATCAGTTGCTTACGTCCAGTGTCTCAACTCTGATGATTTGCTGTTGTAAGCTACTTACAAGTTCATACCCTGTTCAGGTATTTGTTCTAGAATTTTTAGCACTTTAAAGATATTGATGTGGTAAACTCAATAGTAAGTACGCCAACAACTATGAGTAATATAATGATGAATAAAGTATCGTTCCCACGATGATTGATGGTTAATTGACTGCAAAAAAAAAACTAATCCTATAATTATTTGAATAATAAAAATAAAGTTGTCTAATTAAAAGTAAAAACAGCTAAAAGAAACAAATTTAAAAAAACAAAAGCAAATAAATAGATAAAATTTAAGGTTTGACTAAGGCAAAACACATTAAGGCATGCGACTTAACCATGGCTAAACAATATAAATTCTAGATTCATATGCATTTGAGACTCTATTCATATGACAACAGGATCTCCTAACTTATTTGATACTCTCTCTCAAGTTATATCAAACCTACTCTTACTTAATAACCCACATATTTTGAATTTAGTTAGATGCCAGTGCATTAAGTTCTGTGAAACTCCCTAGTTTAAGTTGACTCTTGTGGGTCAACTGATCACTAATGCTGCACAAATCATGTTGGTTCATCTCTAGCTTTCGTTCAATTTATGGTATATGTTTTTGGAAGCTATTGCACAAAATCTCCCCCCGGTCTCATTTATGCCCTTCAAATCAATTTAAGTGATGGCTAATCATTTAAAAGCATTAAGCACAATAACATATACTCACATGAAATAACAATCTCAAATAACATAAAAAAAAAAAAAGAATTCTATATTGCCATGGTTAGGCTACATTGTAGCCTTAGTTAGGGAATTTCGTTCACACTAATCATGATAAAATCTGAAATTAAATTGATGAACCAAAATTCCATATCTAAGAAAAGGAAAAATAAAGTGTAAGGGAAGCAAAACCCAATTTTTGGTGCACTTGAACCAAATCTGTCCTCTTGACTGGTGAGCTCTTTCTCTCCTTGGCTAGTGTTCTTCTTGGCCGAAAACCTCATTGGTGGCTGCCTTTGTTTCTGCCAATACCCACACTGAAAGCTGCTGTTCTTTGTTCTGCTTAAAGCCCCCCTTAAAGTCTCTGCCAACCTCCCTTCAAATCTTTTTCTCTCCTTTTTTATACTAGCCTCTATGTGCCCTCATGCCCATATTATTTTCCCACAATAAAAGAAAGAGAGCACACATGTCAAATGCTGTGCATGGCACATTTATAGAAGAAAGCCAAATTCAAGTTTTGATCTTCAAATGGGAAAATTATGGAGTCAGACTTCATCTTTTCAGTTTTTGCCATTTTAGCTTGTCCACTTCTTCATTTCTTCAATTTTAATCTTTAGCTATAAAAATGATGTAAACCAAATAAAATCACACCAAGACAATATAAAAAACTCCAATTCACAAATAAGAAGACATGTAAAATGGTATAAAATTTAGGCTTATCAGATATTTCCATATTAAACAGAAAAGCAGATCCACAATGAGATTGTCGTGATATTAAATTCTCCAAAACTAACTTAATGTCCTTGTTCAAATTATGGATGCAAAAGAGTTTTTTTTACTCCATCTCTGTTCTGATAAACAGGTACCTGTTCCAATTTGCTCATTATTATCTCTTATTGAGAGGGTGCTGATGATGGATGGTTCTTGTCCACAAACCATGTTGCCCTTTATGACTGCCATGCAACAGGAGTTAATTTGTTCAGACCTTCCGGTTTTGCATGTGCACAGTTTGGACCTCCTCATTGCAGTCATCAAGGGAATGAGCAGGTAAAACAGTAGTTTTCATTTGTATCTCCATTATCTTATAGGGGAAGTCTGCATGCATAATCTGTTTGTATATATAACAATGTTAACAAAATCATTTTATCATTTTATGGTAGCAATATGCCCTATTCTAATTTCTATTTGATGTAGCAAAGTATATTTTTTTCTTGAGAAAACCATTCATCTGACCTCTATTTCTAAAATCATATTCTTTTCCAATTTCAGAAGCCTTTTGATGTAGAACAGGAAGGAAAGGTGGAAATAGAACTTAGAAACAGAGGCAAGGGTGGGAAGAGAATAGCAGAATTGGGATTCTGGAAAATAGTTTCAATTCAATTCATAAGTTCTTAAAACTAAATAACATTAATACAACCTATGCTTAAATAGAAAACCTAAAAACCCAAATTAGACTTACTTCCTAATTAGATTCCCAATTAAATCTTTATTGAAAGATAATAACAGATCCTAATAAATATAAACTACTAGTAAATATTTCCATTTAATTCACATGTATATTCATAATGATAATAAAAACCTAATTGATATATTATTTTCTTCCTTATTTGCGTCGTTCTCCCCTACTTGGTGAAAACTTGACCTCGAGTTTTGTAGTGTTGAAGCCATACAAATCTTGAGGTAACAGAATAATCCAATTGCAGAGCTTTTGGTAACTTGATTTCGATCTTCAAACGAAATAAAATAGACTTCAAAATAGGATGTTTAGCATCAAATTCTTTAGAAAAAATAAACTCAATGGATTGAATAGCTTGCAAGATGGGGAGTAATTCAAAATTTTCTTCCACAGTTTCCACTATGCCATTTGGCTTTGATTCTGAAAGTTTCTTGAACACGTTTTGTCAATATCTTCTCTAGTTTCCACCTTGTCATTTACCTCTGAATGTTGAAGCTCTTCAAGTAGCTCTTGTGGCTTGACTTCTTGTTTAGAACCCAACAAGAAAGATGTTAAGTAACTTTCCAAATTCTTCTCAGGACTTTTCTCCATTTCAAACTTGGCATCCTCCTGATTCCTTTGTTAAGAGGACCAATCTCAATGGCTCCTTCAAGTAAGTTCTCATTCTCTTCCTGGGCTTGTTTCAAATATGGCTTAAGCTTAGTAGCGCAATTCTCAAGTACTGTTTCTGGCAACTCTTGAGTAGTAGGGTTCAAGGCATCATTCACAACAATAAGTAGTTAGTAGTGGAGAAATCAGTTCCGTAGAGATGTCATCACTTTCTTCTATCAAAATAGTCATAATGGCCTCCATACAAGAAAACACATTATGCAAATAATGATCCTGAAATGACATTAGAAAATGATGGAACATTTCTATAACCAATGCCTTACACTCCAGATCAACATCATCAAATATGATTGACTGCTTGCCATGATTTGTAAAATTGATAACTTCTTATAATATGTGTGGCTAGAATCAAACTTTTATATTACAGACCATTGATATTCTACCTATTTTCATAAACTTCTTATTCTTATTCAATTGGAAGAGTGCACACATTCACCAGTAATATTTTCATTGCTTGCAGTCATTTGTTGCCACATGCTGCAGAGGTTGTAAGACTTGTTACCAAGTATTTCAGGAGATGTGCACTGCCAGAATTAAGGATAAAGCTGTACTCAATCACTAGGATTCTACTCATATCCATGGGTGTTGGTAACCGGCATTATTAATCTTTTCTATTTGGCAGTTGACATGATTTAAAGGATTTAACCCTAGTAGTTCTATAAGCTGAAAGGTTTCCACAAAATGCTTGCTCTCTGAATTCTGGGACATCTTCTTTGCATGGAGAAAGTTTCTACCATGCCTGATTCTGCAAGCTTGGAGACCCTCTTTGAATTAAGCTCTATAGTTGATAGTGCATCAGAATTCATTCATTCTCTACATTATCAGGGAAGCAAGGTTTAGTGGCATTATTAATTTGAAGTTATTTTCTTATCAGGAATGGCAATGTATCTTGCACACGATATTGTTGACAATGCATCCATTGATCTGAATTCTGTTCTAGAGGAAAATGCTGGAACATCTGCTTCAGACCCAAACTCCATTAAAATCCAATCTGCTAAGAGGAAAAGAAAGCACGGTGCTAGTTTTGAATCTTCTGAGGAGCAGCAAGACAAAACAAACACTGGTTTAGAGGTTGGAGCACACAAGAAGCACAAAATAATTCCAATTTCTTTAAAGATGGCTGCTCTTGAGGCTTTAGAAACTCTTCTTACTGTGGTATGCAATCCGCATGTTTGTTTTCAGAGATTTTCCCCCCCTCTTTATTTGTTTATAATCATATCAGAATAAAGTATCTTCTTGTATGTCCCAGTCATGGCAATCACAAATAGCATTTTTTTTTAAAAAAATTGTAAAACCTTAAATGCTTTTACTTCATTTATCTTTCATCAACAATTGCCATTTCAGGTTGGTTGCTGGAGATAAAAATTGAGACATGTTGCATATTCATTTACACAGTGTGCCTCAAGCTCATAATTATGCCATATAATTATATCATTAATGTCCTTCAGTCCTTGCCAACTTTTGGTTGGTAACATGGGTTGCACATTATTCTTGAAAATTGAATGTGGTATGCTAATTTTTCTCAGGGTGGTGTTTTAGGATCTGAGAGTTGGCGATCTAGCATTGATAATCTTTTGATAATGATAGCAACATATTCTTGTAAAGGGGGATGGGCAAATGAGGAAAATGACATCTTTCTACCCCATGAATCAACCTCGATTTTGGCAGATTTTCAGCTTGCAGCATTACGTGCACTCTTGGCATCACTTCTTGCCCCAGCCCGAGTCCGTCCACCATATTTAGCTCAGGGACTTGATCTTTTTTGTAGGGGTAACTATTCCAATCTGTAACATATTTCATTTTTCTCACCATGTGAAGTAAGGAGAATAAGAGTACTTTACTAGTTTTAATGTATGGTAAGCACTAACTAGTTTTTCAGAAGCATAATTTATGCTGCCTTGCCAAATGTGTCCTCTTAGTCAATAGGGAAGATGATTTAATGTGAATGCCAGTTGTTAAGTGTACTGGGTATGACTAAAAGATGATTCAAACTGGTATGTTGGGTCATTCTACTTCTTTTGATGTGGTTCTCATTGCTTTTTTGATTTTGCAGGCAAGCAAGAAGCTGGGACAAAGATTGCTGGATTCTGTGCCTATGCTCTTTTGACTTTGGAGGTGCTCATACACCCCAGGACCCTTGCACTGGATGATTTTCCCTCAGCATGTCCTAATTTATCCAAAGAAATGGGACATGATGCACCTGAATTAGATTATGAGGATGATGATTTCCTGCTAAATGTCAATGATTCTCCAGAAAAATACCCTGGGAAGTGTATGAAGGATACTGTAGAACCATTTAAGAGCAAAGAAACTGATTTAGTTGAAAAGCTTCCAGAAACTAATTTTGCTGAAAAGCCTCCACCTTCTGATGCCTGTGGTATAAAAGCTCCAGAGATAAGTGAGTGGGAACCTGCAACTGGCAATGCAGATGTTCAGATGATAAGTGATGAGGACCAAATTATTGTGGAATCCCATCAGTTTCAAAAACCAGTTCAGTTCCAGGAAGTTGTTTCTGCCAAAAGTGCCACAAATCATGAATTTGCTGGAGATCCTCAAGGTACCGAACTAAAATTGGGAAGAGCTGCTTCAGGCAGTGATTCATTATCTCATAAAGATCATGACATGGTATCAACAGTAAATATATCACAGGACAAAGTTGAAGGATCTGCTAATGTCAGTGGAACTACTCCCTCAGTCATACCAAGGGCTGACAAAGGTAAGGATCCTTGGAATGATGGTTCGGACAGTGATTCCTCTAACGATTCATTCCCTGATATTGTCGATGCAGATCCTGATTCTGATTCTGACTAGGAATTATGTTGAAATTTCTGGCCAGACATGAGTCTGTTATTTATACAATAGAGTGTAACCATAATATTGCCAAATTTTGATTTTACAAACTTTGTTGCGCTATTTCTTTCATTTCTATCCTACATTCCTTTCCCGGCTTTGGTTTCTACTTACTTCCTAGTACATAAGTAATGATAGATTATGCAAACGGGAGACTTTTCCTGATTATTGTTATTGAAGTTCTTCATTTTCCGGGGGAAGAACTTCAGCAGCTGTTGTCAAATGAACAACAGAAATGATGGGCTAGCTGGTAGCTGCCCTTATTTGACCAGAAAATCAGTATGCCATGGTGGTTGACTAAGGCACATCCGCACTAACGGAGTCAATCCCATCCCATTTCCACTCGCGTCCAATGCACTAACTGCAAATCGGAGTGTTTGTTGATTTATTCTAATGATTTAAATTTGAGCCATGTGGGACAGTAACTTTCTCATTTTTGTTTTATTTATATGGAAAAAAAATAACAGTATGTACTTCAAATTAATAGGTTCTGAGTCAGGAGGTTCGATGACAGCTATCTACCAAAAAATCTGAAAGCTTAGTCTTTTGAGCTCTTAAAAATGCTCCTACACAGCACATTTGAGACTGGGTTTTAAGTCATTTTTGGCTCTTTTTCAAGGGCCTACTACAAGTGAAATTATTATAACATCTTAAATAGTAACCATTATATTTTTTTTAATATTATTATTTATTATATTCTTATATTATATATTTTTTTAAAATTTATATTTTTTATTTTTAATAAATTAAACAGTATAATAATTTTTTTTTAAACAAGTTGCTAAGGGATGAGTTCAAAATTCTCTCATGAGAAAAAGAGAATACACCTCAAGCTGATAAGGTGTCAATTGAATCAAAAGGTCAAGTGCAAAGAGTATAATAATTAATTAAAATAAAAAAAATTTATAATTGTGGATATAACAATAATTAATTAATGAAGTTCAGTAGTAAGTTATTAAGTTGAGTCCTAATTGATTCTCATTATATATATATTTATAAAAATAATAATTAATAAATTAATTTTATTAATTATTAACAATTATAAATTTAATTTTCAGATATAATAAATATTTCATCTCCTTCAATTAAACCCTTGGTGGAATTCGATACTCATCATATTGATTCAGTTGTTTTCCTTTTTCGGTAACAAATTAGTACATACAACAAATTCTTTAAAGTGTATGAATTGGCAATCATTAATATTATAGCGTGTTTGGTTCAGGAAATTTTCCCCCAACTCTTTTTTATAAAATTATTT